ACAAAAACAGCTAATTAATGGATTACACATTAATATTAACGATAATTTACATAGTTTTTGAAAGTTTTCTTGTTTACTTTTACTTTTCTATGTAAAATAAATTGCCCATTATCTCAAAAGTAACTGAGTAGTTAATTAATAATAATTTATCATCTTAATTAAGATTAGCTCTCCCATAGTTATGAGAAGTGTGTGATGCCATAAGTGTAGGAAGCACCCATTTAATTGGTTCAATTTTTTTTTGGAGTTAAGTTTTACAATTACATTTAAGTTTCAATTTAAAGTCCTTTTATTACTCAAATTTTCAAGAGAAATGCGTCAAGTCTATCCAAAGGAAACTAATCCAAATTACACATTTAACTCATATTATACTACTATTTAAACAATTTGTACAACGCATTCTTAATCGGTCAAATAATCTATTCTATATCACCCTAATTAGTTCCCTGGCTCAAAACAAACAAACCCGATTGAACAGCAATTGGCACTATCTGACTTATATCTATTGTACTGACGTTGAAGGGACAAGTAACATACAATCTAAAGGCAGGCAAACAATCTCTCCGGATGCATTCACCAAATTAGATAGTTTTATACAAATACATTTTCATTACACCATTTATATTTCAATACGAAATGTTGAAAAATGACCAAAGAAGCGTTGCAACAAACTTTTGATGCAATGAACCGTGGTCAGTTATGTTTTCGAATCATGTGAAAAGTATGCAGTATTTGCTTTTAACTTTTTAACTTTAACTTTTTGTTAACCGACAATTTGAATTTATTTTACCAAACCCGAATACCAGTTGCGTGGAGTAGCGGAGCATGTAATAGCGTGCAGCTTCCGTGAGGGTGTGCCTCCATTGTGGAGGCGGGCAGCTCGTGCGTGACTGTCATCGCCCGCCTCCGCCTAACCAAGCTGCCATACCATGCCGCCACACCGCCTCACCGCCACACCGCCAAGCCGCCTAATAGTCAGACGTGATAGTTCCATTAAACTCAGATCAGATAAATGAATCATCACATCTTATTTGCATCAACAGCTTAAAACCGAATTTAAATTTTGTGACACTCATTATGCCACATACCTTTCTAATTTTGTCAAAAAAAAGTTACAACCACTGTACACGATTCGATGATTCTATCTAGTCCATGACGTCAGTAGTGACTCTAAAACTGAACGTCGACATGCGCGACTCCGACAACATGTTACATCGACATGATTTTACTCAGACATTACGTTACTCCGACAATATGTATGTTACTTCGACTATATTTTACTCAGACACTACGCTACTCCGACAACATGTTACATCGACATGATTTTACTCAGACACTACGCTACATCGACAACACAGACGAGGTGTTTATTAAAAAAAATCTTTGTACTGTGGTAATAAAAATCATAATTACAAACCCATCTAGGAAATGGTTTCTTATTATATATAGATCACTATAACAAAACCAAAAAAAATATATAATCGAAATTCTTTTATTAGTTATTTAATTAAAGTGTAACAAAAAACTATTAAATTAAAATATAAATTTTTACTACACTATTTCATGTACATGTCACATAAATGATTATTTCCGGGACGGAAGAAAATTTTAAACTGCTTTTCGAAGCACAATTTTGGATAAAGGATTGGACTTTTGAAATAGGATATTTTATTTTACTTTTAATTTTTTTTTTTGTTTCACTTTATACAGTGTTTTTTTAATGGGACAATTGGGGAAATCCGAAACCATAGAATATACAAAAAAAATGTCTTAGAAACCATAAAGTTTTTTTTTATGAAATCAATTTCGGCATATTTTTTTAGTCAAGTGTGGGTTGTCCATAATAATTAATAAAATTGATCAAAATTTTGTTTAGTGTTGATCGACTCAGAGTTATGAAGGGCTCATTTCATTATATGGTAAGAAAAAATCGGGGCAGCAGAAGTTGATCAAATTCCATTAAATATTTTTCATACAAAATAAATAAAATTGACAATTTTAGTTGTAATGACAAAGTTTTTTTTAATGCTAATAGACTCAGTTTCTTAAAAGAATGACTTCATTGGACCCGACGAAAAATATCGGGACAGCAAAGTTGGACAAATTTAATAAAAAAAAAAAATTTCATTCACAATCAATAACATTTTATTAAATTTGACGAACTTCTGCTGTCCCGATTTTCTTCGTCCCATACAATGAAATGATCCCGTCATAACTCTGAGTCGATTGGCACTAAAAACTATTTTGATCAATTTTATTTGCTTTTATGGGCAATTCACGCTTGACCAAAAAATTGACTATGCCAAAATTGTTTTCTCAAAAAAAAAGACGACTTTATGGTTCCTAAGATGGTTCCGTTGTATCGTCTATGGTTTCGGATTTCCTCATATGGTCCCGTCTTGAAAAAAACTCTGTATTTAAATAAAATAAATTTCCGATTACATAATGTTGTCCTTTTTTTGTCATAGTGATCGATATAAGAAATCATTTCCTACATGGATTTGTAATGATGATTTTTCTTATCAGAGTACAAAGATTTTTTTTAATAAACACCTCGTCTGTGTATCCTCGATGTAGTGTAGCATCTAAATAAAATCATGTCGATGTAACATGTTGTCGGACTAGCGTAGTGTCTGAGTAAAATAATGTCGTAGTAACATAAAGTCGGAGTAACGTAATATCTGAGTAAAATTATGTCGATCTAACATGTTGTCGGAGTAGCGTAGTGTCTGAGTAAAATAATGTCGAAGTAACGTAATGTCTGAGTAAAATCATGTCGATGTAACATGTTGTCGGAGTCGCGTGTGTCGAAGTTCAGTTTTAGAGTCGTGAGTAGTACATTATAATATACACACAGTCAGCGACAAACCTAAGATAAACAAAACTTATCAATTAGGCCAAATTATTTAAAAAAGCAAAAATAGACGGGTAAAATAATACGAAACCAAAGCTTCTGTATGTAATCAGAATTATGATGTACGTACCACCTTAACAAATGCCATTCTAATCTTATTACAAGATTAGGCAATCCCTGGTGTGCGTACAAAGTCATATGACAGCAATGCATTAGGACAACACGATAGTCTGCAGGGCTTCCTGGAATATGAGACCTGAGTCCTGCTATCCTGTTACTTGTTACTTGTCACCCTTTACGATATAATGACAACCAGAGCTCCTAATCCTATTTGAAAGTATATGGCATAAGCTCTATGGCTTTACCACTACAGATACAATTTCTAAAAAGTTTTTTTTACAGTGGGTAAGTCATTACACATTTTAAGTGCCCACCGAATTACAAGAACACAATGTGTTGGGAATGGAGATCATGCATGGAGATGCTGTGTTTTATTATTCACTAAATATTTTAATATTTGAATCACGTATAGATTTATGACGACCTCGTCGATGGCACAGTGAGTGAATTAATAGGTTGTTTCCGACGAACTTTTCTAAATTTGCTTTGATTGGAGGTTTTGTATTGTGCCCAGGCCGATAGTGCCCAGGAGTTATTTTTGTTGCTCCGGTGATCATTGTACAGTTTCTACTTCGAGACCAGATAATTGATGTGGTAGTTTGGTAGTATATTATGAATATGATAGTTTCAAAAAAAAAAAAAATTCAAAATAACCTTTCGCACTCTGTTACATGCAACATCGTCACCATAGTACGAAAATTATTTCGTGACAATAATCATACAAATAGCAAATCTCACTTGCAATGTGGTATAAGACATAAAACCATTGCCACCGCGAACTGGCGCCGGCATCTACCATTAGAAAGGCCTTTACCATCTTACAGTACTAATTTTACGCGTGACTCAAAGGATACAATTCTATTGTTTAGCACCGTTGTTCCTTCAGCGATTGCTCGCAAATAGCGAGGCGAATTATCAAAGAAAACAGAACGATTGTTGCAAGACCACCACGAAGTGTCGTAATCGGAATGGCGCACTGCAGCCACCTGGAACTGCGACCCTTTTTAGGGTTACAATACACAAAGTTGGTAATTCGAGCAACCTAGTAAGTACAATTTTGTAAACGCTCAAGGTCAGGAAAAATTATACTAAGCATTGTAGGTGCACGTAACTAGGTCCCAAATAAAATATATTGCTCAATTAAATCCAAATTGGAAGAAATAAACCATTAACAGCATAAACAAAGCTGACGTTTACCTTAATCGGAAGCCAAGGCAAATAATGCGCAAGCGCCCGCCTACGACAAAGACTGGAATAAATCTGGACCAACCTACCTTCAATTAAGCTTATGTTCGCATTTTGGTACAACATCAGCGACATGATTGTCTAGGTGATTAGATACAACTACAGTAGGTATCTATGATTCTAAAATATGTTTTGTATTCAATATCCTAAGTAACAATAGTAAACAAGTTAATGCATTGTATATGTTCGTAGTCACCTATACGGGAAAAAACGAACCGAGGAAGTTTCATATAATACCTATTATATGAAACTGGTTCGTCCCGTTACTTAATATTATATAAATAAAAAAAACTCAACTTTTCAAGCCATTTGAAGGCAGTAAGCCATCATCCATTATGCCGCTTTAATTTTTTTTTATTCCAGCCGGCAATCTGAACTGCCTCCGTGGCCGAACGGTTACCATGCCGGACTGCCATGCAGAGGTCCCAGGTTCGATTCCCGGGCCGGGAGAAATATTTGTATGGCCTACATTTATTTGTCTCGTGAGTTTGGGTGTAATTTGTAATTGTCTATTTGTGTGTCCATGGCACCCGCGACACAGGGTTTCCCTAGTGCGGGGCTATGTCGAGTGTGTGCGTTATTATTATTATTATTATTATTATTATCAGGCGGGTTTTACTAACACGTTATTAGTAATGGATGACACGCAAGAAGAAGTCAATGATAGTAAAAAATTACATGTGAATTTGAATTTTGCGGGTCCATAGTAGTATTTTCGGACCTACATCGACTGAGTATTACTACAAGTGGAACACATCAAAATATTAGAACTAGTACTCACTGTATATAGCTTCCCCTGTCGAGTTCCGGCAGTGCACGAAAATGCAGATTCGACATTGGATTTTAGCACTTAACAATAATAAAAAAAATAATAAAATAGGACTGTTACACAAAAATTTGTTGCATAGCTAAATTAATTAAGTTTACACTTAATTTAAGGCTCGCATTCAATAATTATCTGGAAAAATTATGACGTAACTGGGAATGACAGACTTTACCAAACAATAAATCAAAGTTGGCAACTGTTTTCGCGGTCATACCGAAGCCAACGAAAAAGGTTTGTCCAAGAAAATCTAATTTAATTCACAACACTGATCCTCGGTCTCGGTCATCGAAGCAAATTCGCTTAGTCCGGCCGACACTTGTAGATTTGTCGATGTTAATACTTTTGTAAATTAGTTCTGCTATGTAACGAACACCATGGGACAAAGGCCATGCGTGACCTGGCGCAAGAAAAATTTTTTGAAAAATGCGCAATGATATTACATACTTGACAAAGGAGAAGCAGGAGTCACATTTGGTTCATTCGATTCCCAGATGAGACAAGCTATTTTTATAAGTCTTCGAACGCAGTATTACTTACTTTTAAAAATTGAATAATTTCTCTATAAAGCAAATATCCTATTTGTAATATTTAAAGTCTTTTCCTCCATGTTGCATAACTCTCTGAGACAATAATAGGAGTAGTTGAGCTCCTTGTAATAGAGTAGAGCTCCTTATGGACGAATTCGTCCAGGGAAGTAGTGCCACCTTACCTATTTCTGCCGCCAAGCAGTGATGTCAGCATGACTGTGTTCCAGTTTTGAAGGGTAAGGGTGCTGGTGAAATTACAGGCACGTGACAGACTTGTCAACTTATGTCTCAAGGTGACAGGCGCAGTGGCTGTGTCCCTCAGATCTTTGCAACTTAAAGCTCCGAGTGGCATTGCAACTCTTACGGACAGGCGTGTAGCTTACCATCAGGCGCACGCACTTTTTCGTCCCTTCACTTGATATTATATAAAAAAAGACAACTGTTTAAATGGGTGTGTGCATAATATTGTCTGCGTAATTGGCGCTAAAACTTAAAGAAACATTGATTAGGGACTTTGAAACTAATTTTAGTTCCATGACATTTGTTAGTATACATTGTAATTTTTTATCTTTCCATACAATGAAATAAACTGTTCATACATGAAATACCTAAGTAATAACCTTTTAATTAAAAAAAAACCGACCTCGCAAGTTTGACTATCGACTTTTTTATTGGAATTATATATATTTGGCAAGTTTTATTGAAATCGGTTAACGGACATTGCGCAAAACCAGATTTAGCCCCTAGTTTGGCACTCTTAGAGCTGGAATATTTTCGTCAAATTTAAATGGAACCAATATGTATATGTATATAGCGGTGGTACAATGGGCGGTCTTATCGCTTTAAGCGATTTCTGCCAGACAACCTTTGGATGGGAGTAATTATATAATTCACAGGAAAAAGACGGCGGTGTATGTGGAATTTCTAATCAATAGATAAAAATTGATAAATAAATGCAAATAAACATATATTTATAAATAAGTAATAAAACCAATACATATATATGAATATCGTAAACTACTATACATTCTTATACCTATAAATATAACATTTCTAAAACCTTAGAATAATAACGCATAGAATGATAGTTTCATATCAAACGAACTGTCACAAGTGAGGCAAAAACCAAATTCATGTAGGCGTAAGCAACTTGTATTTACGCTCGTCGGCACGCACACAAATATACAAATAATGATGCCATGGAATAACATTTCCCTCAAAAGTGGGGAAATTGTATCTTGCTTAACTCATCATTAAGTTAAAGGTGCCTACAGATTTGCCCGACATTGTCGATCAGGTGCCTACAGATATGCTCGGTTTTGTCGATGAAAAACGAATATAGCACTTATTTGTAAATCCAAGATGGCGGACACGATTTTTCAAAATATGCTATATGGGTATCCTTTTCGAGGTATTTGGGGATGCTCATGACGAATATGGCACTCATTTCTACATCCAAGATGGCGGGCACGATTTTTTCAAAAAAATGCAATATGGGTATCATTTTCGAGGTATTTGGGGATGCTCATTACGAATATGGCACTCATTTCTAAATCCAAGATGGCGGGCACGAGTTTTCAAATAAATGCAATATGGGTATCATTTTCGAGGTACTTGGGGGTGCTCATTACGAATATGGCACTCATTTGTAAATCCAAGATGGCGGGCACGATTTTTTCAAAAAAATGCTATGTGGGTATCATTTTCGAGGTATTTGGGGATGCTCAATGCGAATATGGCACTATTTGTAAATCCAAGATGGCGGGCACGATTTTTCAAATAATGGCAAGTTGGGTATCGTTTTCGAGGTATTTGGGGGTGCTCATTACGAATATTGCTTTTATTTGAACTGTCGTGTTTGCCATCTTGGATTTAGAAATGAGTCCCATATTTGTATTGAACATTCCCAAACATCTCGAAAACGATACCCAACTTGCCATTATTCGAAAAATCGCACCCGCCATCTTGGATTTAGAAATAAGTGCCATATTCGAAACCTAAAACCGAAAATGCCATAAGCAAACATTAAAGAAAATAACTGTTAAAATAGATTAAAAAATCGCTTAAGAATGCTCCCCTTTTAAGAAAATAAAATATTTTAATATAAAATATTTCGCTTGAGTTACGAAAAGAAAGACATATAATAAGCTATCAAAGTTGTACTGGTGGTGCCAACACTATAGTAGAAACAAATATATACTGTAAATTTGTTGCAATATGTGCTCCAATTCAAATAAAATTAATATAAATAATTATTCAATAAAGCATGAACGCAGAGCCGTTAAAAGTATTATAAAATAATTAAGTGTCCCAATCACTTACAGGAGTTAACGAAAACATTTAATTTTTATTCGAGTAAATATTAGTTCAAAATGCGCAAATAAATCGAAATTACAGGCACCACTAAAATTTACGTAATATAATTATTTTGATACAGAATAGCAAAATGGGGAGAAAAAAAATTCGTTACTTTGCAACACTTTCGTATCTTGTTGCCGCGAAATTATTTTTCTGTTTTAGTGAATATTTACATAAAAATATGAGTTGAAACGCATTACTTACTTGTGGAATGCGATGTTAGTGTCTATTTTGTTTGTCTGTTGTATTTTTACACCCATTTACCGCACATTTCGTCATTTTTAGCAAAAAATTTTGGAGCTGTTCGCGGTGCAATATGACCTTGAGCACTAACAGCCCGCGCGCTCCTGGGACGCGTTTGGAACCCTCTAACTTGCCTCACTTAGCGTGTGCGGGCTAGGTTTCTATGCGTTATTATTCTAAGTCTAAAACGTATAATACACAACGTAATAAACAATTTCTACTTCTTTATTTGCGGGTAATCGTAAAAAAATAAGCTTTAAATGAAGTGAAGTTTATTATGTCTTCACGCTTTAACTGCGAACATGTAGTCAATCTCTTAGCAGTCTAATTCTTATTAATAAGAGCATGATACTTTAGAATTGTCATAGTACTGAAAGCTTTAAAATAATTAACGTACTTAAAAGGCAATTAATTGACTGCTGTTTTTATAGACAATTTTTTGTATAATCATGTCCAACCTTATTACTGGCTACAAAAATGATATTCATCTTTTGCGTCAATCGCGGAATTTAATTTACAACAATAATAAATATACTTATAGAGAAACAAAACCTCAAAACAAAAATGTACTTACTTACTAATGTATTTATTACTAATGAGAGAATCATGAGAATGTGCTGGCAGTGTTATATACATGCACTGGATGCAGCACACGATAAAAAAACGTGGTGCAAAGAGAATAGGTAACAATTGGGCGAGTTAGTGATTGAACTGTCTTTTTTCTATTTAATTATGGGTATTCAACAATGTGACCAAGTACGCGCGGGAATTCAGATTACATTCTTATTAAATTTTGAGGACGTATAACCATAAAGAATCGGGAGTGTGCAAGAGCCCTTAGCGCCCAAGCACAGCAAAAATTATGTATCTGAACCTTATCTGAACGTTTGACATTTGACAACAGAACGTTTCGTCTATGGCCTCTTTATTTTTTTTAGTAACAATGGCTTTGCCTTCGCATTTATTCAATAAAACGGTGAGGAAAATACAGCAGACGGCAAGGCGGACTGCAATGCAGGATAATGTTTGTTATAGTTACGAAAAAAGAATAAAAAAAAATGAAATGAATCAAAAAATTTTTCAAAACTTTGTATAGTCTGATCATTGACTTACAATTCTGATGCTCGAAGTCTGGTTGGCTGGCTTTATATATTTTTCGCTTTCGCGCCCTTTTTTAAAGTTTATTGTTACGTGTGTTCTATTTTGTGAAAGCGAACACTTTTAACTATTTTGGGGACAGCGGGACACGAATCCAAAAGCGGAACGTATGGTCACGTTATTAACAAATCAAAATACATTTTTTGTACATTCGGCATTCCTCGCACTCTAATTTAAGATAACAGACATTGGTAAATATAGTTGGAATTTAAAAAGTTCCGTACCGGAAAAAGTCAGTACCGGATATTACATATCAACTTATGTTTACTAGAGAAATAAGAACAAAATTACAGGCGATATTTCAGAACCAACCAATCACCAATTCGATTTTCGGTACCTCGGTTCGTTAATATTGAACGACGGCGAGATAGACCGCGACGTTAAGAACAAAATAAGGGCATGATGAATCCATTTCATTCATTCGACAGGTCACAGGCACTATTTGCGATCGGCGAATGCCCCTTAAGATAAAGGGGCAAATTTACAAAACCGTGATTAGACCTGTCATGTTGTATGAATCAGAATGTTGGGCGATGAAAAGGGAGGATGAACGAACTGTGCATGTATCGGAAATGCGAGTGTTGAGATGGATGTGTGGAGTGACGAGAAAGGATAATATAAGGAATGAGCACATCAGGGGAAGTTTGAAAGTGGCGCCAGTGACGGAAAAGATGAGGAGTAGTAGGTTAGCGTGGTATGGACATGTCATGCGGAGGGAAGAATGTCATGTGACAAGAAGAGTGCTAGGTATGAATGTGGAGGGATATAAGGGGAAAGGAAGGCCAAAGATGAGATAATGATGAATGTATTGTGGATGGATTGTGTGAAAGTTGACATGGATAAGAAAGGTGTGAGTATAAAAATGACGG